GAGCGGCGCAGGTCCCGGGTGCGCGCCCGCGGCGAGCGGCGGCCAGGTGAGCGGGGGAGGGGTCCGTGCTTCCGTCCCGCTTCCTCCGCGCTTGGTCCAGCCGTCGCGAGGCGAGGGCGCGGTACGGGCGCCGGGCGGGGCTGCGGACGCGGTGCGGGCCGCGGGGGCCCTGCCGCAGAGGGGCGCCGGGCCTGGCTCAGCGCGCGGGCCCGCAGGAGGAGCAGCGGCCTGGGGACGGGATGCGCGGCGCCTACTGCTCCTCCTGGCCAGCAGCACCTGCGCGGACGAAAGTGCCGAGCAGGGGCAGCCGGAGGCGCGTCCTGAAGTCCCCGCTGCCTTTGGCCGGGCCTCGGCCCTGGGCAGGCTCTGGGCCGGCCACCTGGGAGGAGCTCAGTGACAGAGATGCGGATACTGCCAGGCCGGCAGGGTCCAGGATTCCTCCCTGGCACCGCACCCCTGTCGTGGGGCCTAGGGTCGGCGAGCCCCTGAAGTACTGCTCGTGGAGGAGGACGGTCCAGTCCATGCAAGGGAGACAGCCGTGCACAGGCCACCTCTGCCTGACCCACAGGGCACTGACCACCAGAACCATGGGCCATCCAGTGTCCAGTTGGGGATGTGGCCAGAGGAGGGCCTAGGCCGCCCAGTGTGCACTGGGGACATGGCCAGGGGGAGCCCTGCAGATCTCTGGCAGGGCCAGGCCAGGTGGGGATGGAGGTGGCCTCCTGCCCGGCTCCCAAGGACACACACTCTCCCGTGGCAGGCCTGGCCTGCAGCACGGTGCTGGCCTGGGGTGGCTCTGCTTGGCCTTGGCATTGGACAGGGAGGCCAGTGATGCCGCCCCACCTACCCTAGGCAGTCGAGGGAAGCGAGGCTGAGCTGCTCCCTGCCCCTGCTGACCACGGGCTGGCATCTCAGGATCTTGTTCCTCCAGCTGCTTCCTGAGGGTGTCTAGGTGTGAGCAGAGGTGGGGCACCACTGTGACAGGGGACACCCTGTGCTCAGAGCCACAGTCCTGATGGCCACTCTGGGGTAGTGCATTCCCCTCTGGGCCCTGGGCCTGGGGCCGTAGCTGGTCATGCGTGTGCTCAGACAGAAATATGCCGTGTAGGGGCCTTGGTGTGGGAGCCCAGCGGGGAGCTGGCCTGGGGTGGTCTGCAGATGCCCAGCATGTGTGCTGGCATGCTTGTGTGTGCATACCGTGGGTCTCTGGTCCTGGCGTGTGCACACACGTTGGAGTGTGAGTGCAAATGGGGCTGAGGTGGGAGAGGGTAAGGAATGTGTGTCCCGAGTGCAGAGCGCTGCGGAGGGGTGTGTTCCTGCCCGTGCAGAGCAGCTGCCTGTGCGTGTGCCCAAGGGAACCTCCCTCCGTCCAACCTTGGACTTGGGTACTTCGTGCTCCTTGGCCCGGAGCCCCTAATGGGGGGGTCTTGGCTGCCCCCCCCAGCCAGGCCTGGGGTGGGGGGCTGAGCAGGAGGCTGGCAATGCCTAGCCTGTTCTGCCCACACACCTGCCCACAGCTGACCTGATGTCGCTGCCCGCCTCTGCCATGCCACCCGCTCAGGGTCCTGGTCCCTGGGATGGGAGGGGCTTCCTGCCAGTGGGGGCACCTGCTCTGGGGGAGGGAGTGGGTGAGGAGGGGTGACCTGCCCACTCTGCAGAGCAGCCACTCGCTCATTCTATGGCTGCTGCAGGAGCAAGCTGTTGCCTGGCACCTCTGCTGTTGCCATGGTGACTGAGGAGGTGCTAACTTGCTAATGAGTCCCCCTTGGCTGCAAATAACCATAGTGAAGCAGTTAATAGGACCAAGCTCCAGCTCTGAGAGCACCCAGGGAGCAGGGGTGGGGACCAGGCACTGCCCTCCAGCACCCCCCTTCTCACTCCGCCTCAGCCTCAGGCACATGCCTAGGAGTGGGCACCCTAACCCCGCGTCCCTTCCTGGGCAGCCTATGAGTAGCTAGCCATGGGGCTCAGCACCTGGATCCCATCCCCTGTGGCCCTTCAGGATTCTGGGCTCCTGGGGTTCTGCCCAAGGTGCAGGGGGTGGGGGCTGGCAGCAGTGGTCTCTGCCACTGTATATGAGGTTCAGACTAGGACTCAGCCAAACACCCCAAGAGAGTACACCAGGGACCCCCTCAGCAGGGCAGGGATCCCCTGGGGCAGGCTGGCCCTTGGCTGCTAACCTCGCCTGCCTGCGGAGGGACTGAGGAGAGGCTAGGGCACAGGCGTCCATGAGGAACCCCAGGCCCCTGTGCCCATGTGGACCTTTCCTTGGGATGCAGGACCCCAGAACCCTGGGTTCTGTCCAGCCTCCTTGTGTGACCTCGTGTTGTCCCCACCCCTTTCCTGTGCCTCAGTCACCCCGTCTTTTCAAAGCAAATTTATCAGCATAACACTGTCCCTTCTGAGGGGTGTGAGGCCTGCAAGGTGACAGGTGACAGGAGGCAGAGCTGCCAGGTGGCTGGCGGCAGGGGCTCTGGTCTCCACCTCCTGTATATGGCTGCCCTTAGCTTCCAGGGCCCTGCTGAGGTCCACCAAGGTGGGGTGTCTGCCACGGAGGCCACTACCCCAGCCTTGCACAGCACAGGGGCACAGAGCCCCAATGGCGGGGTGGGACAGCAGCCACAGGGAAGGAACCCCCAGACCAAGCCCCAGTGCCCCGGCTGCATCCTCCAGAGTCCCCCCACCCACAGGGTCTGGATTATTGGCTAAGGGGGCCCACCCAGGACTGGCTGTGCGCACTTTGCCAAGGAGGGAGGGTGGCCAGCTGGGAAAGGGGCAGAGGGCTTGGTAGGGGTGAGGGGCAAGCTCTGGACCCTGTCCTGCAGGGCTAGGGGGGGATGAGGCGGGGGCGGGGGCTCTGGGAGGCCTGTAGATGGCCCACCAAGGACACCAGGCCAGGCCGGCTCTGAGACCCTCTCCGGGTGCCCACCCACCCTCCTCCACCTACGTGTGTCCTGGCACCCCCGTGTGCTGCACAGGGCCTTTCCTGGAGACTCCCCACCAGTGAGACCACAGCCCATAAGGGGAGGGGTCCCAGGACATGTGTGAGGACCCTGTGCCCCAGCACGGCTGAACCCCTGGCTCTCCCTCAGGTCGGGCACCATGCGCTAGGTGCTGCCAGCACCGCAAGGCCACACCCTCCTCACCGCGAGGTCACTGCCTGCTGCCCACCGCCCCACCATGGCCGGGGACCGGCTCCCGAGGAAGGTGATGGACGCCAGGAAGCTGGCCAGCCTGCTGCGGGGCGGGCCTGGGGGGCCCCTGGTCATCGACAGCCGCTCCTTTGTGGAGTACAACAGCTGGCACGTGCTCAGCTCCGTCAACATCTGCTGTTCCAAGCTGGTGAAGCGGCGGCTGCAGCAGGGCAAGGTGACCATTGCCGAGCTCATCCAGCCTGCCACTCGCAGCCAGGTACCCATGTTCCACCCTCCTGTGGCTTCCCAGCCGGCCCCTTCACCCTGGAGCCAGCTGAGCCCTGGGCTGGGGCAGTGGGCCCTCAGACTGGGCTTCCCAGGGCCAGGCAGGACGATCGCTCCACGGAGGCCCCACACTGTCCTCAGCCTCCCTGTGTCCTCACCCTGCTCCTGCCTGGAAGCCATGGCCTCCTACCCCTCTGGCCTCCACAGGGCTCAGAGATGGGGTCCTGGGCCCACCAGGAGGCGCAGTCAAGCACAAAGGCACCGGGGGGGGGGGTGCAGGTGGCAGAGGCACAGTGCAGGGGACGGGACAACTGGGTCTGGCTGCCCTCACTGCTGTGGGGCTGGAGGTGCCCCAGGGCTCTTGCCGAGCTGGCCATGCCCGTCCCCTAGTTCTCCCTCAACCCCTGGGAATTCTCTGTGGTCCTCAGGAACATCCTTCCAGGGGGGCAGCCCACTGCTACTGGGACCCCCATGCCCAGCTCCTGGGGAGGGACTAGCTGGGCCATAACCTTCCCCACCCACGACCCCTGGCAGGGAGGGGCATGCTAGCTGCCTGGAGATAGGAGAGGACCCTGGTGGGACAGGCTGCTTGTCTGGAGTTCCTGAGGCTAGCCCCGGCAGGGGAATCCATGATTAATCACCCCAGCCCGGACTCCTGTCCTCCTAGAGTGCAATCCCATTGGCTGATGGTGACATCATCCAGCCCAGGGCTGGCAGCTCAGCTGGCTTAAAGGCTGAGTGTGCTTAGGGGCGGAGCCATCGACCTGTCTGAGCCAAAGCCGCCCAACATCTGGCCCAGGGTGGAGGAGGGGACAGCAGGCACCCAGCTTCCAGGGCTGCCACTGGCTCGGTGGTCCCTCGGGGTGGGGGCTGGGTCCTGACCCAGTCCTCAGTTTCTCCACTGGGATGGGGGCTGGGGAGGGGCGTGCTGGGTCAGCAGTCCTGCAGGGACAGCCCAGGCCCAAGGGCACCGCCCTGCTCCAAACCCCAGCACCTGCCCCCCTGCCCAGGGCCTCCAGAACCAGTTTCCCTGTGCTCATCCACCCTGAGAGGCAGCCCTGGCACTGCACACGTGCCCCCAAGACCCCACACTGTGTCTCCTCAGGGGATGCCCACCCTTCCTCACCTGTGGGTGACTGCCCTGGCCCTCTTGGTCCACTGGCCCACCTGTGTGGCTGTGGGCACTTTCCCGGGCAGCACAGGAGAGCCTGGAAGTGTAGAGTGGGTCACTGCCCTCCTCCCCAGGTGGCAAGGTGATAGCAGCCCCTTCCTGCATCCTAAGTCCTGGCTCCTGGCCAGCGGTGGTGGCAGGGCATTGGGCGCCTGAGGGTGCCTGCAGTGCCCTGACCTCTGCCTGGTCGCCCCCCAGGTGGAGGCTGCAGAACCACAGGACGTAGTGGTGTATGACCAGAGCACCCGGGATGCCAGTGTGCTGGCCGCAGACAGCTTCCTGTCCATCCTGCTCAGCAAGCTGGACGGCTGCTTCGACAGCGTGGCCATCCTCACGGGTGAGCCTCTCCCTTGGCCCATCCGCTGGGCTGAGGGGTCTGAGGAGGATCTCTGCTCTAGAGGGCTCGGGCCTCACACTTCAGGAGCCCTGCACAGGGCCCGTCCCCACCCCACAACCCCACAGTGGAGATGGGGACAAGAGAAAACCCCAAGGCCAGCTCGCCGCCGTGCGGAGCAGGTGAGGGACCTAGCCAGCACCTGAGCAAAGGGAACTGGCTCTGAGCCTGAGCGGGTCCCTCACCAGGGCCTCACCAGGGCCTCCCCTGGGCCAGCAGGTGCAGGTTGCCTGGCAACAGGCACCTTGACCAGGACTGCAGCTTGTGGGCCCAACAGAGGGCTCAACAGAGGGCTCAGGCTTCCTGCGCTCCAGAGGCAGCCTGGACCAGGACCACTCAGTCACTCACGCCCTTGTATACTCACTTGTGCACACACACCCACGCACATAGTCATATACTCATTCATGCACACTCATATTCACTTCACCCTCATGCACACTCACCCGCATACGCACACTCATGTACTCACACTTATATGCAAACACTGCCCATTCACACATGCACACACCCTTATGTACTCACACAGATCCACACCCACATGCATGTACTCATATACCCGTGCACACACTCATGTGCTCGTGCTCACTTGTGCATGTGTGTATGTACCCTTTTACATGCATTCACACTCAGGTATACTCACCCTCACACTCGTACAATACACACTCAGGTACCCATTCGTGCACACTCACAGTCGTGCACTCACTCATGCACATACACACTGTACCCATCCACACACACGTGCTCATGCACTCTCACACAGGCAGTGGCTGAGAGGGCTTCTGTAGGGCCCCCTTCTAGGGAGGTAGCCACATGGGGCTGGCCGTCCCAGACACCACCCCCTTCTGCCTGCATCTGGAGTCTTCGCTGACTCCCTGCCTCTGCGCCATGGGCTGAGGAGGCAGGTGTGGAGTGGAAGGGTGAAGACAGCATCCTGCCCACCACGTGGCCGACAGAGCAGCCTGCACCCTGCTGACTGCTGTCCTTGCCGCCACAAGGTGGGGTGTCCAGCCTGGGCAGGAGGCACCCAGGGACCTGTGGGCTGCTCTAGCCAGGCTGCGGGGAGACCCCGAGATAACAGTGCAGCCCTGCCCTGGGGACGTGGTGGGGTGGGTTCCCTGTTCAGAGCTGGGTGGGGATCTGGTCGTTGGCAGCTGGGAGGGATGCAGGCACGGACCTCTGGGGTCTGCACTGGTCCTGAGCCTACCTGGCTGGGATCCGTGATGTGTGTAGGTGAACTCGGAGCAGAGGCCCTTGCCCACGGAAGCAGGGCACTGGGAGGGGAGGGGTGCGTGGGTCCTGGGGATAGCAGGAACCCCGCGGCCCAGCACCACCCGGGCCAGGAACTGAGGCCTGAGACCCTTCCTTGTGGAAGCCCACAGGGTCAAGGCAGCCCCTCCCTGGCCTGCCTCCCTGGGCGCAAGGTAGGGACAGTGCAGGTGCCCTCCCTCCGCACTGCAGGAAGTCCACCTGGACTGGTGGTCCCTTCTTGGCACCCCCGCCCCTCTGCCCTGTGAGGTTTGTGTCTTTGTCTCCACTTCCCAAAGGGCCCAGTCGGGAAGGTGTCCTGACCCCCACAGTATCCCGGCCGTGAGTTCAGCCTTCTGCCCTTGCCCATGCGCACTGCACCCCCAGGTGGGGACAGCCAGCCCTGAGCTGGGCCTGCCTGCACAGTGGGGACAGCGGGAAGGGGTGCAGGCTGGGCAGGTCGCTGCCCACTCGCAATGAAGGTGGGGTTCCCCAGGGTCACACACAGTGGGTGCTGGCTGCTGGGGACAGGAGGGTGGCCCTTCCTGGGTGGGGCTGGAGATGGGACAGTGGAGGAGCTCGCAGTGCTGGGTTGCAGGCCCTGCTGCTGTGACCTTGTCTGCCCCTGCCCATCCTGCTGCGTCCGTCCATCCTATCCTGTCCAGTCGGGGGGGGCGGCCCTTGGCCCACGGTGCTTGGCGCTGTGGGAATGCAGGCTGAGCATGTGCCTATGGCACCTGTGGACCCTGCACAGAGGACGGGTGGGGACACACCTGGACTCGCAGAGAAGCGGGAGGTGTGCACGCGGCTCCCTGTGGGCCTGAGAGCACCTGGGACCGTGACTTGACTGCACTCGTGTTTCAGGTTAGCCTGGACAAGAGTGTAGGGTGCTGTGTGTGAGTCTGGGATTTGACCCCGAAGTAGAGAGAGCAGGGGTCGTGGAGGTCTGGTGGAAAGGTACCCTTGGGGTGCCAGAGTAGGGTGCCCTCCTCCCTTGTGTCCACTTCCAGAGCCCGGGCTGAAGTCCCTGGAGCCTCAGGCCTTGCTGGCCTGGCACCCAGCCAGGCCCGGGGTGCCTCCCCAGGAGTCCTGGAGAAGGTCGTGCCCCCGCCCAGCACGCACCGCCTGCCCTCCTGGGGAAGAACCAGCCTCCAAGGGGCCAAGCTGCATAGGGAACGGCAGGAGAAGGAAGAGTGGAGAGGCCTTGCCACTCTGGGGGTTGGCCCCCAGCAGCACCGTCTGGGGGTCCCCACAGCCCCAGCACCTGGTCAGCCTCCTTGCAGGGCACCTGTGAGCTGTGACGTGGCTGATGCCAACGCCACCTGCTTCTCCCTGTCCGGCCCACAGCTTCCCCAGGAAGGGGCCAGATCTCCTGATGCCTCTACGCTCCCTGCCTGGAGGCTCCCAGCTCCATGGCCCCCCAAAGCCTAGCACAGGGAGCCCACACGGGGCATGCTAGGTGGGGTTTCCTCACTGTGAACTGGGCCAGGGACAGCAGCCAAGGCACTGTCCTCCCTGGGTCCCTGGCACTGCCTCCCGTCAGGCAGTGGGGTGTCCTTAGCCTTGTTCCACTGAGGCATGGTTAGGAGCCAACTTGCCGGGGGCTTGGCACCCTGGAGCGTGCATGGGCAGCCCCAGTGCTGCCAAGGGGACCTGCTCTGCCCAGCCAAGAGTCGGAGGCGCTGGAGGCGCTCCCTCAGCACAGCCAGGTCTGTGCTCACGGCTCACAGTCTTGCTGTCTTTGCGCCTTGCAGCAATGCTGTGTAGCAGGCAGGATGAGGAAACTGGAAGCCAGAGGCAGGCTCAGCCCTGGTCACTGAGTCAGACATACTGAGGACTTGAGCTCAGTCTCTCCAGCCAGCAGCCGAGGGCTCCTTCACCAACCTCCACCATCTCCCTGCTGCTGGGTGGAGAGAAGCCGTGACCGGGCCACAGGTGCCACTCCGGGCTGGGTCGGTTCCAGGGGTGAGGCCATGCATCCGGCCAGGAGGGCCCTGTGGAAGGCCTCACCTCCTGGGGCTGGCACCTGAGCCAGGCTGGGGCTTGAGGCCAATTGCAGGGAGGGAGGGATGCGAGAGTGATGGGGGAGTTGGCAGCTGGGCTGGGGAGGAAACTCACAGGGGACTGGAGCAGCCCCTGCCTGGGCCACGCAGACTGTGCTGCTGCCACCTCAGCCACTCTCACAGCGTCACAGCAGCGTCCTCCGTGGGGCCAGCTCCTAATGAGCAGCAGGAGGAATGTGGGCAGGCACAGGCTCCCAGTGGGCATCAGCACGCGCCCCAGTGGCGTGGTGTGAGTTCCTGCAAGCAGGAAGCAGGTGCTTGGCCAGCCGGCTGGGCTGGTCCACAGGGTGTGGCGGAGCAGGCGGCAGATGCAGTGTCCTAGGCCTCTTCTGCCCCAGCTGGCCCGCTGGCCTGATGAGCCTCCTTCTCTCTGCCCACAGGGGGCTTCGCCACCTTCTCCTCCTGCTTCCCTAGCCTCTGCGAGGGCAAACCTGCCACCCTGCCACCCATGAGCCTCTCCCAGCCCTGCCTGCCTGTGCCCAGCGTGGGCCTGACCCGCATACTGCCTCACCTCTACCTGGGCTCCCAGAAGGATGTCCTCAACAAGGTGAGTGCACAGTGGGGGGGGGGGGAAGGATAGCGCGAAGGTGTGGGAGGGAGGACCCAGCCCCAGGAGCCCCTGGGGCTGGAGGAGGGGCTGGCTGGCCCCTCCCCTCCCCTCCCCTTCCGTGGCTGCCCTGAGCTCCTGTGGTGCCTCAAACCACTGATGTGGCCTACCTGGCCCCAGGCCAGCTCTGAGAGAATCTGTGTTTTTAAAACTGGTGAGGAGGGAATGGTGAAGCCACCACCCAGGCAACTGTAGAATTCCTGGGAGCCAGGGCCGACTTTGGGCGGAGCTGGCGGGAGGCTGTCCCCACACTGTCACTGGGCTGTGGGCTTCTGGCTCAAGGTGGGAGGCGCTCCAGGGCCCAGCCCCTTCCGCACTGCAGGTCCAGCACTGGCTCCAGGCTCCAGTGCCTCCCAAATGCTGAAGTCCTCCCGCCCTCCACCACCCCTTTCCAACCTGTCATCCCACCCCTCCAGGATCTGATGACCCAAAATGGAATAAGCTACGTCCTCAACGCCAGCAATTCCTGCCCCAAGCCGGACTTCATCTGCGAGAGCCGCTTCATGCGCATTCCCATCAACGACAACTACTGTGAAAAACTGCTGCCCTGGCTGGACAAGTCCGTGGAGTTCATCGGTGAGGGAGGGGAGGGCCGGAGGGTGGGTGGGCCCCCCAGAGAGGAGGAGGATGTGCTCTGCTGCCTGGGGCAGGGCCCACGCTCCAGCCCTCACCCCCTGCCCACGCCCGCCTGCCCAGATAAAGCCAAGCTGTCCAGCTGCCAGGTCATCGTCCACTGTCTGGCCGGCATCTCCCGCTCTGCAACCATTGCCATAGCCTACATCATGAAGACCATGGGCATGTCCTCCGACGACGCCTACAGGTACTGCGTCCGGTCCCAGGCCCCAGCCTCCGTCCACCTGCGCCACCTGGCGGGTGGGGGCAGGTTGTGTGGGTACTGGGAGGGCTGGGGGTGGCCTGGCTGCCAAGCGCCCTGCCATGGAGCCGCTCCCACCCAGGTTTGTGAAGGACCGGCGGCCGTCCATCTCGCCCAATTTCAACTTCCTGGGCCAGCTGCTGGAGTACGAGCGGAGCCTGCAACTGCTGGCCGCCCTGCAGGGCGACACCCCCCACCCGGGGACCCCCGAGCCCCTCCCGGGCCCCGCAGCAGGGGTCCTGCTGCCAAGGCTGCCACCACCACCTACCTCAGAGAGTGCTGCCACCGGGGGCGCGGCAGCCACCGCAGCCAGGGAGAGTGGCACCTGGGAGGCCCCGGCCGCCACCCCGGCCACTAGCGCACTGCAGCAGGGCCTGCGCGGCCTGCACCTGTCCTCCGACCGCCTGCAGGACACCAACCGCCTCAAGCGCTCCTTCTCCCTGGACATCAAGTCGGCCTACGCCCCGAGCCAGCGGCCTGAGCGTCCGGGGCCGCCTGCCCCCGGGGAGGCAGCCAAGCTGTGCAAGTTGCACAGCCCCTCAGGGGTCCTGCTGGGCCTCCCCTCACCGGCCTCTGACAGCCCAGACTCCACTGCAGAGACGCGCCCTCGGCCCCGTCGGCGGCACCGGCCGCCCGCCAGCTCCCCAGCCCGCTCCCCGGGGGCACACGGCCTCGGCCTGAACTTCGGCGATACGGGGCGCCAGACTCCAAGGCACGGACTCTCTGCCCTGTCTGCACCCGCACTGCCCGGCCCGGGTCAGCCCGCCAGCCCGGGGGCCTGGGCGCCGCCGCTCGACTCCCCGGGGACACCCTCCCCCGACGCACCCTGGTGCTTCAGCCCCGAGGGTGCACAGGGGGCCTTCAGCCTGGCAGGCGCGCCCGGGCCCGGCGGCAGGGGCGACGGCTGGCCCGAGGAGCCCGCCCCAGACTCGCAGTTCAAGAGGCGCAGCTGCCAGATGGAGTTCGAGGAGGGCATGGCCGAGGGCCACGCGCGTGGCGAGGAGCTGACAGCCCTGGGCAAGCAGGCCAGCTTCTCGGGCAGCGTGGAGGTCATCCAGGTCTCCTGACCGCGGCGCAGGCCCACCATAGACCTAGACTGCATAGGCTGCAGAGGAAGGGAAACGACTCTACTGCGATTTTTACCGAGAAGTAAATATTTCCATTTTTTATTTATTTAAGCAGTTCATGCTGGCAATGATTCGGCACCCATGTGGCCGGCCTTCGGCGCTCTATTTTTACTGTCTGGTATTTAAACTGAAACACTTGTCTCTAAGCAATAGGAGGCTGACATCCGTCCCTGTCACGAGCGGCGGGCCAGGCCTGGGACCTCCCTGCGCCCTCCTCCCCCCGAAACACTGCTGATGTTGCAAAGAGGCTGCCCGGCTTTCGTGCACTTTTTACGTAAGAAAAAGGGGAAAAAGCAAAAAAAAAAAAATCTTCTTTGCCGCAAACTGAGCCGCAGAAGCTCCTCCCCCGCCCGCCTGGCCTCCTTCCCTCCCCGGGCTCTGCACCAAAGCCGTAGGTGGGGAGGGGGGCTGCAGGAGCAGGGCCCTGCCAGCTCCGGGGCCAGCTCTCAGTGGCATGGGGACCCTGCTGCCTGTCGGCAGGGCTGCCCCTGCCCGGTGTCGGCCAGCACTGGCTCCTGAGTCAGAGGAGGTGGACCCCCAGGGCAAGGATGGACAGAAGCGACCCTCCCCCTCGGGCCCAGGTCCAGAGAGGCCCTGCAGAGGCAGCCGCTCCCCTCTTCTCTCCTTTAGGGGTCTCCCCAGGGCAGCCTGCAGGGACAGAGCCTGGCCTGGGGGCTGCCCCGATCAGACAGGAGCCCTGGCCCAGATCCAATCCTGAGGCCTGTGCCGAGCTGCTGTATTCAGGGCTGGGGTCCATGGCTCTGGGAAAGCCCCCACGGGAGCAGGCCCTGGAGAAGTCCCCCTTGTCTGCCTGGCCCCGGGGGACCTCTCAGGAGAGAACCCCCTGTGCACCCCGTTCCTTTCCTGGCACTCTCCCCACATCTTGGGGCGAGGTCCAGACCCCACCCTCCAGAGGCTTTTTGGCCAGGAGGGTCAGCCTGGAGGTGGGGCAGGAGGAAGCCCAGCCACCACACCCCACAGCCTCTCAGGTCACTGGGGCCTGAGGCTTTGGGGGCAAGGCCTGCCCCTCGTGTCCTGGAGTCCGAGGGTTGCCTGTCACCCCGGGAAGAGGCGAAGGGCTTGGCAGGAGTGCCCAGCCCGCCCCAGCCCCGCCACTGTGTTCTGTTTGTTCTTTTGTCCCCGCCCTGTGTTCCGTCATCCCTCTGAGCAAAGTCCTGTTCCGGCTCCCTCTGTCCCCCACGCCCTGTCCCCAAGAAAATAAGCTATCATTGTTGTATTTGCAATCTATGGATTAGAGGTTTAAGTATTTATTATTATTGGTTAATTATTATTATTAATTATGTAAATTTGCCTTCTGTCTGATGCTTTGAGTTTCTGAGGTGACCCTGGAGGGGTCACTGGTGGATGCACTGTCCTGTTGCCCGCCCCTCTGCTGTCCGGGAGACAGTGGTGTGGGGTCACTGGTTGGGCCCCGGAACTCTGGGCGGGTCTCGGCCCCTGCCCTCCCCTGGCGGGGGGGTGTGCGGGCCCCTGGAGCCTCAGTCTGTCTTTGTTCCCGCTCCCCTGACACTGTTTCCCCAGAGTGAACAGCTGGAATGGGGAGAAGGCCTCCATGTGCCAGGAAGGCAGGGCACCAGGGCCCTCAAGTCTCCAGCCTTACCTGGCATTGGGCATCACCCAGAACAGACCTGGCCCCTCCTATTATTTGCTGGAAAGTCCAGCAGAGGAGGGCGCCACCCCCCCAGACCCCCAGTCCCTGGGACCGGGGTGTCCGACTGCCCCCCACGGGAACCCTGCCCCTGCGGGTCACACTTTCCCGTTCCCTCCTTTTGTATTTGGAAATCATATGTTGTAATAAATCCCAACACAGGTGTTTTCCCCACGCCTCCGCTGCCTTTCTTTGGGGGGGGGGGGGGGGGGCGGGGGAGGGGTCTCAGGCACCCTGAGGCCAGGACCCTGGGGCTGGGGCCTGCAGGCCAGGCCGGAGAGCAGGCAGTGACTGGAGGCAATCAGCCCGGCCAGGTGAGGGATGTGGGGCCTCAGTGGACCCTGGCATGTGAAGCCCCTTTCGTGTCCTTCCTGCCGAGACCATGTAAATGGCTTCCGACTGACCACCGGAGACTCGGTTTGCCAGCTGCCTCCCTCCAGTCCTGGGGGTGTGGGTTCCCCATGGCAACTTTCCCAACAGAAATGGGGTCTGCTGAGTTGTACTTGCCTGTAGCACAAGGATTAAAAGCTCACCAGCGCCAGCAGGGTGAGGCAGGTCCCAGAGCTCACGCCAGCCTGTGGGACGCCTCGCCCTCCGCATCCCCTTGCAGACTCAGCCCTTCTATAGGACAGACGTTCGGCCATGGCTTTTCTGGGCGGTGTCCACATCTGCCTGGCGACCCTGCCACGCCTCCTGTGTGCCCAGCACGGCTGGGAATGTCCAGCTCTGTGTTGTGGGTCCCAGCCAGGCAATGTCTTCCTGGTTTGCCCGCTGGGGTCCCAGGGACCCTTCTGCTTTCCAAGGCGGGGGGGGGGGGGTCCCACCAGTGACACTGGCTGGTGCGGTACACAGGACACAGGTGGCCCCATGTGTTTCCGACAGGAAGAGGACTCCAGAGAAGGCTGCAGCTGGAGGAGGTCCTCAAATCCTGCATCTCCAGTCCTCAGAGGCTGAAAGCTGGAAGCAGCTCTGACTCCAGCAAGGCTATTTTTAGCTCAAGAACATTTATTTATAACCCTGACAGCCCTGGGAGCCAGTCAAGGCCAGGCTGGAGAACAGAGAAAGTGCCAGGGCCCCAGGCTCCTCCCTGCACAGGAGCACCTGCAGCTGGGCGGGGTGGCAAGGCCCCCACCCCGGACAACCCTGGCTGCACACGGCTCAGGAGACTCCTCGTGGGTGTGGAGGTGCCACTGCCAGCCCAGCCAGGCCCTAGAGGTCACCCTGACCGCACACCAGGGCCTGCGCACTGGGCTGGCCTCCAGAGGCCGAACCCTTGGCACCTCCCTAGCCCCCAGGACAGTGGAGGGGTGGGTAGACAGGTGGATAAGGGGTGGATGGACATGGAGGGGCAGGTGGATGAGGAGTACATGAATGCATTGAGGGTAGGTAGAGCCCAGTGCAGTGGCTTATACCTGTAATCCCTGTGCTTTGGGAGGCTGAGGCAGGAGGATTCAAGTTTGAGGCCAACCTGGGCAATTTAGTAAAATGCCTCAAAGCAAAAAAGAAAATAATTTTTTAAAGGTGGGGATATAACTCATTGGTGAAATGCTTGCCTAGCATGAGTCAGACCCTGGGTTCAATCCTCAGTACAGAAAATCCCCGATTTATGAACATTCAAGTTGTGAACTTTACAGATATGAACAGACCTCGCATTTGGTTTTTTTAAGCTTTACATTGTGTTTTTTGTGTCCAAGGTGTATAAGACTCACTTTGTCCGACTTACACATGAGTCCAACTTACAAGTGTTCTCCTGGAAAGGACTAACAAGAAGTCAGAGACTTACTCTACTGCAAAAAAAAATTTTTTTTAAAAAGGGTATAAGAGCAGACAAGTTAGTGGTGGGGTGGATGGGTAGGTGGCTGAATGCTCACTGGGAGGGGAGGAGGAGGTAGGAGTCTTGCTGCACTGAAGTACAGATGCTCCTCCCTTAACAACCGAGTTCCTTCCCTGCGACTAGGTCATCGACCGAATGCGTTGCGGAGTTGTGCATAGCATGTGCCTTACAATATTCAGAACAAAGAAATGCTCAAAGGAAACTGATGCGATGACTGCTTTACAGCGGATCCTTGACTTAGGAACTCAATTTGTTTCCAAGGTTGATTGTAATTCAAGTTCGAAGTCTCTCTCCTGTACACGGACAGATCTCAGTGTCCTTAGACCCTGGCCCAGGATTTCTCAGTGAACTCCACACAGGAAAGGATGCTGTCATGCTCCTTCCTGAACTCTTCAAGGATTAAATCTGTGTCTGAGATCTTCTGGAAGCACAAGTGGCCGGCATTCAGATTGTGACTCAAGACTTTGGTCATAACTCAGGTTGTCTGTCAGGCAGGTTGTAACTCAAGGGTCCACTGTACTTGCATAACTCTTGCATGCAGCATTGTAGTGTATAAACAGAACATAAAACTATAGTAGTGTACCATACAGTGCCATCAGCAAAATTACAGTACTGTATACGCAAGGTGTGCTGTACAGAAAAAGACACGAGGCTGCATCAGCGAGATGCACAGAGCTGTACAAAGAACCAAAATGACCCAGGAGTCCATGAATCAGGTGGTAAGTCCGAGCAGGGGCAGGTCCTTAAAGGAGGACCTTGGAGCCCTGGAGGCAGGAGGTGAGAAAGTGGGTGTGACCAGCCACCAACTGAGACCCAAGAAACCCAGAAAAGCAGTTCCGAAACCCGGGTGCCTGGGACCCATCAGAGAGCGCTGGCTTCAGTTCTCCAGGGACTGAGAACAGCAGGCATTTGAGGCCGGGAGACCTGGTCAGCCCTCAGAGTGGGAGATTTGAAAGGCATGTGAGCCCGGCCGCAGTGTCTGCTCTCAGCCTGCAGCATGTACACTGCTTCTCCTCCTGTGTTCCGTGGCCCTGGCTCGCTCTGCAGAGCATGCTTCTTTTCTTTTCACACCTCTTATAAATGTAAAACCTCGACACCTTTTGTGCCCATCTTGCCCGTCCTTCATCAGGACAGGAAGAACCTAGAAGCCACCTTTCGAAGGCGGCTCCAGTGCCCCCAGCCCTTGAACACCCTGCTAGCTGGCCTCACATTAATGCTGGTGCTTACCGGGTCTCCCCTTGTGGTGTAGACAGGCCCTGTCCCCACACTGGAGCTGCCCTGCGCGTGCTCATGAGTAGGCTGCAAAACAGCAGTCCTGGGTCTCACACGGCTGGAGCACCCAGCTTAGTGCCCTCCGAGGGTGGGGAGAGGAAAGGGCTCGTGCCTCAGAGCATCAGAGGAGGAACGCTGGGGCTAGGCTGGGCTCCCCCATGTCCTGGACAGGTCCTGGCCCTGCTGAGAGGGCAGGTCTCAGTGGCACCTTGGATCCAGCAGCCTGGGCTGGCATCTGTGGGTGGATCTGTCAGGGCTTGGGTGAGCTCAGAAGTGGAGGCCAGGTCTCAGGATAGCTGCAAGAGGAGGCCCCATCTCAGCTTGCAAAAGCCCAGGGACCGTCGAAGAGGGTCACAGGGTGACAGAAAGGGCAGGGGGAGGGATGAGCATGGCCAGGAGCTGAGCGGCAGGCTGGGTGATGTCAGAGGTCCACAGAACGTGCTTCACAGCGGGCCACGAGGGACAAGACTTCAAGGGTCTGAACAACAGGCCCGGGCACAGGCATTCTGGCCTCCCAGGAAGGTGCAGGGGACAGGTGGGCCTGGACACATGGGCAGTGCCTGGTCAGCCTGGGCCGGGGGAGCTGACCCTCTGGAGCAAGGGAATCCTTTCTGCAGGCTGAGGGTGAGCTACGCTAGGAGGGCAGGACACAGGCCAGGCTTCTGGGTTCCAGGGCTCCTGGGAGGACCGGCAGCCACGTGACAGCTCCACGTGACAGGGAGTCCCATGTATTGGCCAGCACCACTCTTGGCCAGAGGTGCACGTGTGGGGCAGTACCGACGCCAGGGTCCTGGCCGGGGAGCCTGAGCCCCCTCCCTCGCCAGTGCCCAAAGTAGGGCAAAGTCCAGGCAGCGTCTGCGTCACTGGATGGGGTCCCAGGAGGTTCCTGAAGCAGAAGAGGAACCTGGCCCCCCTTATCCATAGAATAGGTTAGAGGTGTGCTGACTCTGGTCACAGAAAAGGAATTTTCAGGACGAGCTAGGAAGAGGCACGGGAAGTTTATCAGGCAGAAATTCCAAAGTACGCACTCAAAGAAATGGAGTGCAGGCTCTCAAGAGAAAAGCACTTGTGTTCTTGATACTGGGATCATTCTAGCTCCTCTCAAGGGCGTGGAAACCACAGGAAAAAGTGGCCCACGCCCCAGAAAGGTACTGGCTCGTTTTCTGTTTGTCCTTGAGACAGGGCCTCGCTCTGTATTCCAGGCAGGGCTGGAACAACCACTGTCCTGCCTCAGCCCGGGAGTGCTGGGATCATAGGCTTGTGCCCCACGCTGGCTTGGCTTTTTGTTTTTTTAACTAGATAATTTAAACATTCTTTGGATTCTCTCAACCCGCTCTTTATCTTAGATCAGGGTCCTGCTCTTTACTTTCTCAGTTGATGGACAGAGTATTCCTGAGGAATCTGCGGTGAGCCGGCCTGGAAGGGGCAGGCCTGGATGTACACAGGGAATGCTGACAGGCACAGGACAGTGGCTTGGCTGGGCCTGAAGTTGCAGTACGAGTTTCAGTTATGATCTCCTTGTCCCCTTTCTGCCTGTCTTTTATGTCCTCTCTACCTCCTGTGAGCTGCCAGCCCCTTCCAAGGAGCAAGGACCTTCCTGGCTCCCGGCTCCAGTGCAGCCGCCTGGGGTGATCTGAGTTGGGGAGGGTCTCCCCATCCAGGAGAGCACAGGACCCTCTGGGGCAGCAGGGGGGTCACTGCGGGAGCAAAGGAGCCAGGCAGACCTCAGCGGGCAGGCGGGTGGCACTGCGGCAGGGGTGGCCGAGGCCAGCCTCAAGGCCACACAGCTACAAATAGCCCATGGGGTGCCGGAAATAGAACGTGGGGGGGGGGGCCGGGGCGCGACCCACCGGCCTCCGCTCTGGCCGAGCCCCGGCACAGCACATACCTGGCCCAGGTGTCTGGCTCCGGAGCCAGCCGCGCCCCCTGCTGGCCAGGCCCGGCAGCGCGCTCTGCTGCCCTGCCACGCTGCGGGAGCCGGAGCAGAGCGCAGGCCTTGCGCCCCGCACCACGTGCCCGCGTTGGCACCTGCTGAGGCCTCCCTGTCTCCTGCAGCCTCTGCTCC